GCTGATGCGAAACTCGAGGCGCCCAGTCGTATTCTACTGCTGTTCGCCATTGGATTGGGTCCATGTATGTGTTGCGGGGGTGCACTAAGGAATTTCCCGGTCAGTTGAGGTTTGTGACGATGCCTATGCATCTACCGCTGCCGGATTCTACAGACGAGTTAAAATCAAGTTACAGCTTATCATTACACAACATTACCACGACCACACACATGCATGTCAAGCTTTTATTTATAGACTAACTCACTCAATGGCACGCCAGAGAATACCTGTAGTTTTACTAATACGGGTGGGACTATGTAGCGAAATTATAACCTTTCGCTCCCATCCACCTCTACATCTAGAATGATTTGGCGTACAAATTAAAATATATTCAACAGCAGAAAATTTTGTTTTTGAAATTATTTACATAAAACAAAAATTTAAATTCCAATGCACAAGTTATAAGTTTTCAAAAAAGAAAAAAGGCATCTAAGTGGCCTGGCATTCGCTGCCTTGCTTACGCTAGCTCTACGATAGCAACACCCCTGTATTGTGATACTACAGGAAATAAACACTCATGTACACCTTTTATTAATGTTATATATATATATATATATATATATATATATATATATATATATATATATATATATATATATATATATATATATATATATATGTGTGTGTGTGTGTGTGTGTGTGTGCGTTTCTCTATTTATTACGTTGTTTAAAAACAATGATTTTTTTTTTAAATTTAATTCAGCAGTCACATTTGATCCTTGTTACGGAGTGAAAAGTATTGACCCCCGACCTTTGTGGACCCTAACCTCTGGACTACAGGTCATGTGTGACACAGTGACAGACGGTGGAGGATGGACCATTTTCCAAAGACGTGTTTCTGGGACTGTAGATGTTTACAGGAATTGGACTGAATACGAATATGTGTCTGGTGATTTCAGTTCAGTTAATTTTTACCTGGGCAACGAAAATGTTTATTTGTTTTCTTTCAAACGCCAAACACAACTGAGAGTTGATTTGATCTTCAACGGAACAAACTATTTCGCCAAGTATTCCATCTTCAAACATATCTAGCGAGGCAGATGGCTACAGGCTACAGGTTGGTGGCTACACAGGAAATGCAACAGACGGTCTAGTAGACCACAATGGTATGAAGTTCACAACGTTTGACCGAGACAATGACATGTACATCCAAAACTGCGCTCCCAAACACGGCGGGGCATGGTAGTACAAAGCTTGCTACAGCTCTAACCTGAACGGTATGTGGGGTCTAGAAAACATGGGTATCAACTGGCTACCCAGGTACACGGCATCGTTCAGTGAAATAAAATTTAAACATATTTTTTAAGGATTAAATGTGTTGTTTTGATTAAGTGTGGCTTTGATATTAGTAAGAATTTAATTATCATTTTAAACATTGTTTCTTCTAAATGTTTTTTGGGATTTTTTGTTAATAAAAGGGTTCATCACAAATCAGACAAATGACAACGTCCTGGTCGAAGACATGTATTTGGATATTTTTCAATACAATTTCAAGCATTATTTATAGTAATAAAAACGATTCTATAATGAGTAGTTATGTAAAAATGCATCACATATTTTTTTATGTTTCTTTACATTATTTTAGTAGAATTTTTTGCTGTAAAGATTAAAGTTGTTACCCGTTGTTTATATTTTAATATTGTGTGGGGGATCTGATCCAGTCTCTTTTACCTACATCGTGATTTGAATTTTACATTGAGAGTAAAACAATTTTCAAAAAACTATATATCTTCTGTTGTTTTGATATTTAAAGCATATTACATTTTCGCAATAATGTATTGGGGAATTAATCACATAAAATGCAAGTCTTGAATAAACACAAACCAGCGAGATGAGTTCATCACACTATTATACTATTTAGAGAAAACAATCTTGGTCCATTTTAAGTACTTTTGTTTCGTAATTATCGTCTTTAAACATTGATAACAAACATGAATAGCATTAGTAGAGACAAACTCCTCAATACTCAATTTATTTATTAAAGAAATAAAAAGCATCATGATTAGATATTTCATTGTAAATAGAAAAGAAACTTTAGCTTGACTAACCGGCTCGAGAACTGCAGATTTCCTCGTACTCCATCGGCAGCTCTACAATAAAAAAAGAAAAAAAGAAAAAAAGAAAAAAAAGGGGAAAACAAAAACCCTCTTTGATAAAACGGATAGGGAAATTGAAATTCCAGCTGCTCCACTTGAAACAAAAATTCAAAACGTTTACACGTTTGTAAACAATATCAAAACGGTTACATTTTACTGAGATTTCTTGGACTGAATCGGCACACGTATCTGTTTTCTTGACCAGATCTCTGATGACCACATCTAACTCTTCCAGGCGTTTCCTGTTACCAGAACTTGATTTTTTTTTCTTGTATTGATGTCATCATTTGGTTTATGTTATGAGACAGTTGTCTTCTCCATTGTTCTTTTTGTTTTTTTCTTTTCCTCTTAAAACTTCCATGTTTTTTTGTACCTCATCTATTCGTCTATCTTGTTGTTTTGATTTCCTTGCTTGTGATTTTAGCTCGCCTTCAAAACGTGTGAGTTGATCATTGACTGTGTTGATATTTTCCTCTATCTGGATATATTTTCTTTCTATTGAACCAGTTGTCATGGCAGTGGTGTCTAGCTTGTGTAACAGAGACTGGAACTCTTCTATGGTCGCTGGATACAAAATTAAAAATAATGTTTAAAATTGGAGTAATTTATAAATGTATTAAACTATAAGAAATAGAAAATAATTGCTTTATTTTGCTTGTAATTAACTACAAATTAGAATTATACCAATGTGTTTAAACTTTAATTGTAATATATAAGCGTTAAAATATGTTTTTTAAATTTTAAAACTTAATACATTTATCTATGTATACAATATATACAAAAGTTTTTTCAAGAGAAAAAATGTATGCACATTGGTGCCTTAATGGTGGCATATTAAAGGATTTTACATACCGATGTACTGATGTATCAGTCTTTAAGAAATCAGTAATACATAATTGAGGTTGCAGGTAATTTACCGGTTTATATTAAAAGAAAACCTGAAAAGTAATAACTGCACACTCCAGTAGCTAAGAATGCCGACATTTGTTCTAATGTTGAACTAGTTGTGTCCTCCAATTGTAGCATCATTTATTTAAAAGTTTTGATGACATCGTCTTTCAACCAGAATTGGCGTTCTGCAATGGTCTGTGATAAGAGAAGTAATTAAGAATGTGTAACTGTTTTTCTATTTAATATTATTAAATTAGATAGATAACTGATTTGAAGCGTCGATCATAAAGTATGCATTAGCGAGAATGTAATCAATTTCATTGTTCATTACAACTTAATGTAGTCCTTATAATGACTGATCTTCCATATTTGACTTACTTGGTTTAAGGAGAATAATATCGGGTTCATGACATCTCTCACTAAAGATTGTCATTTCCGGTGCTAGTACATTAAATTAAAAATTACTCGGGTGTATCTTCTATAATTAGTTGTGTTGTATTTCGCAAGTTTGTCTGAGTTTTCTGGTAAACAAATATTTTGGTATTTTTTACAATATAAAACCTTATAGGAGAACGACACTATCGTTAATTACTTAAATAACAAACAGAGAATAAGTTAATGCCAAGTTCTGACATATGTGTAACCCATGACATTACATTGTAAGTAAAAATACTTGCACTAGCCATCGCTATAGTCGTTGTTTGTGAAGTTACTCGTTTCACTGTTGCTAGTAGTCCTTACACATGTCTTTAGCTCAAAATGAGAACTTTAAAGTCCGATATAAATTATAATGTACCCGTTCTATTTATAGCCTGCTATAAATTCTGATGTACCATTTCATACATGTAATAAACTCTAACAAAAGTATAAACTTACCTTTGTTTGACAATGGGAAAATAGTAAATGTGTTTATGTGTGGGAGTGGGAAAGGAAGGGGTGAGGGGGAGAAATAGGATGTGGGGGTTTTTATCATTTTTTTCAAATAGAAGTATTCATTATATTCATTACGAATATTTAAGCTTAGTTTAATACGGACTACACCAGTATTTATCCGAATTTCTGTGTCGATCAACCCAAAACAAATAATTAAAAATTAAAACATAGAAACATTGTTGTATGATATTTAAGCTACAAATAAAACCAAAGATTGCAATTAAAACAAACAAAGTCATGCTATCCTGAAGGTTTTAGGGTAACAATATGTCTCCCTTACAAACGAGATTAGTCAATAACCTATCGTGAATTGTTTTGGTTTATTTTACCTAATATTAATGGTCTATCGTATCAATCAATATCTTTTGATTTATAATTTTTATGTTTATTCACATCGAAGGAGACTGACTTATTTTCTACAACACAACAAAATATATGATTTTACAATTCAAATACGCGTTAAGTCACTTTAAGTATGAATCTTAGATATCTTCCTATCAGCGGTGTTTGATAATAAACTTCTTTAGTTTGTTACTAAACAATCTAGTTGTTGATAGCTCACGCTTAGCAACCCCTTTCAGCCACACATGGTGAATTATAAATCCCTTCCCCCATTTATAAATATACTTTTTGCGTTGGTTATAAAACGCTACGTTCTCTCCCCTCTAAATTTGGAAAGGTTGGGAAACTACTAGTCATTATCCCTATAGTGTAAAAGACAAGGGAGTGAATCGGTGAAAGTTGTTTGTGTAAAGTAACCAGTTGCATTTACTTTCACCCGAGTCAGAGCAGGTAAAACACAGGTATGTCCATTAAACTCGAGTCCCAGATTTCAACTCGTGACTTCAAGGTCTGTAGTCCAGTGCATTACAGCCTCACCAAGCCGTCCCACAGAATGCTTAGTTATTTACACGTGATACGATGTTTTGTTCAACAAGTGAAGCTTAATTTGTAGTATTGTAACTTTAATTTTAACAATAGTAGTAAATAACTCATTAGGGTTATGCTAACTTTAGATTTATTGCTTTTCATTGTTCAGTACCTCCCACATATCTCCAACCTTAAAACCTTGAGTAAGAAATTATATTTTCCTCTTATTAATTACATTCAAATACATTATGCCTATTTCCATTTGGCTCTGGTTTAGCTAAGGCTTTAATGAAAATATTTGAAAATTTATACAGCTTATCAACAATAATATTCGTTAAAATGTATGGAAATAGATGAAAATATTAATACGCAATAAGTAATTGCAAACAGTTTAAAGTGTTATTAATATATGTAATTATTTATGTTAAAACACTTAATTTTAATATTGTATGCTTAGTGACAGTGATAATAATGCATGAAATATAATTTATTTTAACTGACATAACTTTAAAATTTGTATTACCATGTTTTCTAAAAATAAAAATAAAAATACAATATATAAAATATATCCAAAATAATGTTAATAAATAATATATTACACAAAACGACTGAAATAATATATTTTATAAAGCAGATTCAAGCATCTGTAGCAAAACCTGAACAACGTGTGTTTGAGTGTATAACATCATGATGTTATAGTACGTGATCTATAATCTAATCATGTAAAAATGCATAGTGTATATACCATTTTTGTATAACATTATTTATTATAGTTGACTTATATAGTTGAAAAATAGATTGGTTGGATAAGTATTTTATGTTTTGCTATATTATTTTATTCATAAGTAAACATAAAGTGAACTGTAAAGTAGATTAAAATATAAAGTTATTCATAGAAAAAATGAAGTTACAATTTTTTAACTGACTGTCTGTAGTGCAGTTTCTGTGACATTTTGAATGAAAAGATGAAGTGGTCAGCACTATGCGTATTCGCCATTACTTTTTCTATGATGAGTCACGTGTGCATCACAGCTGGCAGAAATCAGCGACGTCTTACTAAATCAAGCCAGTGGTCGGAAATCGTAAAGTTTTACTTAGCAATAATTAACTCAGGTCTCCGAAAATGTCGTCCCATATATTGGCAAATAGAAACGAACTTAATGTTGAGAAAACTAAACTGATTATTGCAGGTTCACGTATCAGAAAATGTGGTCCGATTATTTGGCGAATAGCAGCAAACTTAATGTTTAGACAACTAAACTGATTTGTTTGAAAAAACTAATATTTTATAAGGTTTAGATTTAATTACACAATATATCTAAAATCAACATATATGCGCTACAATATTTTTACTTTGTCAAAAAATATCAGATTTTACAAACCATAGCTAAAGATCGGGCGCTTTCTAATTCGTTTATTTATAAAACATTGTTCCTGAAAATTAACATAAATATTTCTTTTAATCCTCTAATAAGATTGTAAAATTAATTTCCTGCGTTTGAAGTCTTGGCTTTTAAACATTCTTATAATACCAATGGAAATTATGCTTTCCTTTTCACAATAGCTAATAGTACATTTTATTAGGATTGAGAAACACTGTGGTAAAAAAGATATTCGGACACGATTTCATAGCTGGTTTTCAACAATTAGTGATGTTTTTTATTTTATTGTATACTTTCTTTAATATAACTGTTAAAAAATGTGGCTAAATGAGTTTTACAATGATTTTTATTAAAGATATATTTTGACAGTAAACTGATAAAAAAAAACTTATTTTTTTACATTATATATGGCTAATTTGAAGCACACATTTGCATTTACTATAAATATTTAACACTTTCATCTTGTTTAATGCTTATCTAAAGATTTATTTTGTATCTTTACAACTTTTACATATCCACGAACAGCTCAAATATTTATTCACAAAAGATAGCTACAGAGTATTTGTAATAATAAGCACAAATCATACAATAATAGTCATCATTTATAAACCGTCTGTTATAAACGGATCTTCTCTCAATAAATCTTCTGCAGATGGTCTTTGTTCTGCTTCAGGTGTAAATGTCTTTTCTAAAAAATCTCGTAGGTTTTTTGACGCTGTGATTGACAGCTCATACTTTGGTCTCTGCAGCATAGCAATTTTAAAAAGTACCCTGACTGATGTCGTTGTTGAGTTTGGTGGTGATCCAGTTATCATCTCTACAACTGTACTTCCCACACTCCTAAGCGAATTTAAAATGTGCTATAATATATATTGCACAAATGGAATATTGGAAAAAACATGTGTGCATATTAAAATTAATTTGTTTGGAATCAATGTCTGTTTAACTTAAGATGACAAAAATAATAATTGTTGGTTAGATTAGTAATATAAATTATACATTTTTATGTTAGTAAAACAAGAAATGCATTATATATTTTAGAATAGTTTTTGGTTTTATTCTAAAACCTATTGTTATTTAAGTATTATTTAAATAAAACATTCTCACCAAATGTCCAAGCTGCAACAATGTTTAAATATTCTACCATCAGGGCAGTTAATCATCTCAGGAGCCATATATCGAGTTGTGCCCCTTTCTGCTTCAACTCCTTCTTCCTCGTTAAGTATTGTCGACAGGCCAAAGTCTGTTAGCTTAATGTTTGATTCGTCCACCATTAGAATATTAGTACCTGTTAAAAATGTAAATAATTTGCTCAAAATTCTGTAAATTAGTTTTTTTTTTAAATGGTTGCACTTGGAGTAAAAATAATTATATTATTTTGTAGTACCTTTGATGTCCAAATGCAAGATGTTGTTTTCATGTAGGTATTTTACGCCTTCCAGAATTTGAATTGTAAACTGTCTGGTCAAACCTTCATTGAGTCTTGTGTGTTGTTTGATGAACGTGGAAAGGGTGCCCTTTAGATATAACACAACCATTGTCAGTGAAAATCAACTGACATTTTAATACAGTTTTAAATTTCTAACGTGAGTATCACATAATACAGTGGTGATTAGTAAAGATATAATGTTTTACCATTTTTAGGTACTCCAGAAATAAGATTATATTATTTTCTTTCCTTTGATACCCATGAAACTTGACTATGTTTTTGTGTTTCAGTTTAATTAGAGTTGAAGCCTCTAATTGTAAGCTCTCCTGATTAAAAAGAAATAGAATATGTGTAAAGCTGTAAATATATACTTGCACGCAGTCAGTTATATATCACAGAAGTGCTTGGAAATAGGTAAATAGGCCTACAATAAAGAATTTCTTATACTAACCTTTGTGAAATTAGATAACTGACTATTTGATGATATACGAATTTACATACAACATCTATGCTTTATTATTTTAAAATTTAGCGTAACAAATTTCAACGCATGTCATCATATGATCGCCCCTACGTACCATCCACTTCTTTTGGTTATTTGGGTCTGCGTGTGTTTTCTTTGCAACAAATTTTTCATCCTCTGGTTGATCTATATCCACAACAAGATGGACGCTACCAAAACCTCCTTGACCTAACGACGCTGGTTTAATTTCAAATTTCTTGGGAAACTCATCAGACAGCACAACATCTATAGATATTAAAACGAAATGTCCATCAAAAATGATGACATTTGGACAATCCACAATTATTAAATATTCATTGTAGTACCAGAAAATGTCTTAATTAAATGTAAATTAATCTATTTATCTGCTAGCTTCTTCTTCTTTTTCTTCGTTCTTAATTATTAGTGTTGAAGGGGATCGAGATTTATCTGCCAGTGGGTTTGAAGTCGAGACTTTGTTCGAATTTATCAACCATGAGCTTTTTGCGACTCGACCACGCCTCCAACACAATTAAGCGTTACGTGTCAACTGGTTATGCGACATTGAGGCCATTGATTCCGATTTCAGCCTGCTTTTCTTTTTTGGATTTGCTTCCGTAGCCTTTGTCCAACCAAGAACAAACTACAAGGCAGCAGTTGTTTAATTTTGGAGTTGTCTCTATTAGAAGAGTGGCTGTCCTCAGCTAACGAGCCTCATCTGCCCGAGGGTTCGAACTTGAGACTTTTTCGGTTTAGCAGCCATGAGCTTTACCGACTCGACCACACCGACCCCTATCTGCTAGCAAAATACAACATATATTATATTTTTAACCTGTTTTTGATGGCAATATTCCTGTTGTACGTCCAGCTCTCCAAAGTACTGAATGTACGTTAGCAGAAAGATCCCCATTATGGCTGTTTATTAATTCTATTAACATGTCATTTAATTCTTCGTCTGTGATGATTTTCTCACTTCCCTCTTTATTTCTACTTAGTTCTCTCAAACATTGTGTCGTAAATATTTGTTCATCAGGATCATTATGTGTTAGTATTTCTTTTAAGTGCGGAAACAATGGAAGTACCTGCCAAATTTTTATGAACATAATTTATAAAACGATGCTATGTGTTCTCTTACTGAAACAAACAATACATACATCAGTATTATTAAATTAAAACAACAACTAGGTAAGAATTTATATATGCCAAAACACATGGAGGTGTGAACGGACTATATTACGGACTATATTACGGACAATTATGATAACCTCGTTCAGCACATCCTCATTTTGTTCTAAGAATTTTGCCAGTCCTTGAAGGAGCTCAGATCGCGAATATCCTCCTAGATCCTCTTCATTCCTTACAACATCTCGAATCAAAGTTTCTTTTAGACGATGTTTTAAATTCTCTGTAATATATTAAATACATATGCCAAACGATTCATATTAATTCTAAGATAATAATAATTTGCTAGCTAAATAAATAACTATAGAAAAATAGTATTATTGCACGTTAAGCAATTATAAGGGCCTAATCATAACAAACTTATTAATTCTAAATTCTGAATTATATTTACATAATATTTTCATAATTAAAATGCACGAATTATGGTTTACGTGTACAAAATTGTGTTATTGGTATTCATAATTTAACTTATATTTTCAGGATTTTTATGCTTGTTAATTCGGTATGGGTGAAAAGTTTGAACATTGAATCGTATACGCATGTTTAAATAAACTTTGCGTCATAACCATAAAACGCATAAATAATATACTTTTAGCAATAATTATAATGTAAGAGCACACATTTTAGTTGCTCAAAAAAGTAAGTTATTATATATTAAAATAGGACTTTTTGACAATGTGATTTACATGAATAAATTATTCATGCTTAATCTTTAAAGTTTTTTATACAATTCTAATAAATAAAAATTATTAAATTTTGGTAATTTTAGTTGATTAAAAGGCAACACTGCATAAAACAAAAAAGGGGTAGTTAGTTGCAGTTGTTATAAGGTTGTATCTTCAATTTCTAAATTTGACTTTCTTTCACTGTTTAACTATTTTACTTGTTTTTTCTTTTCATTGTGCTTCAACTAATATCCATTTTGTTTTTAATGGTTTATTATTAAATTAGAAAATGTTTTTAATTAAATTAAATGTATACATAATTATAGAATTTCACAGAGAATTCGCAACTATTTTTTTTCTTTAATAGTAGGATTTTTTTTTGTTTTAATGTATGATAGTAAGTGAAAAATGTATTTAACAAAATAAGTTTTTTTTTTGTAACTGAAGTATTTTAATTTCAATACTTGTTTCTTAATTCGGATAAAAAATATAAAATGCAACTCGGAAACGTTTTCTACGATGGGCATGACATATAAATAATCTTTCTTGCAAATCTATTTAAAGAAATTGAATTGATAATATTTCGTAAAATATTAAGCACGAGAAAAATGGCCCGTTGAGGAAGGATACAACGGGCGCTAGGTTGATAGTGCTATTTTCTCTAAACTAAAACACCCCCTACCCCCAAAACATATCTACCGTCCCATTCAACGAAATATAATTATATACTTTTTCCAGTGTCCTGAAAATTCTACCCCCGCCCCCGAAAATTTCAAGTACCCCCACCCCTCTCCGGGGTGGAAAAAGTCTGAAAAAACACTGGTCGCATTTGTAGATCATACAAACAAAAGGAAGAACCTGGGCGGGGCTTCGCCCCTACCGGAAGAGATACATAAAAAGAGCTAAACACTTTTTAGATTAGAAAAAGTTCCTCAATCCGGGAAGGAAAAAGTCAGAAAGAAAAACTTATGTCGCGCTTAGCCACTACCCGAAGAATTGCATGAAAGTAACTCTTCATGCAAACCACTTAGATTAGACAAAATTGCCTTTTTATTCAATGTTTACTCGAGAATCATTGACGTCATATTACTGTGTGCACTCTCCGGCTTGATATTATTTTCTACTACTTAACGTCATATTTCGTTTCCGTATTACTATGCATGTTTTTATTTTGCTTGTGTTTTCTCTACAGCGTTCTTGTCAGATACATAGATAGATACACAAACAGCGAAACTATTAGTATTAATATATTTGACAGATAATAGACCAATGCTTAAATAATTACTAAATGCCCCTGTATCTATAGGAGAATCCTCTTGTATATTTAACAGTAAAAGTGCTGCATCCATAGCTACGGCTTTTTCTTTGAAATCCATATTTTGAATAACCTGTTGAAAATATAACTGTATTAGATTTCTGAAGGCATTTTAGAATGTATAAAATGTTTAGTATATTCTATTTTTGAAAGTGCGGTATTTCAATTGAATGACATAATGCACTGTTTTATTTCAGTTAGTCAAAAAAAATATCGGCTGATTTAGACGATAAAGTGCAGTTAATTTGTTTACTAAGATAGTGTGACTAGCTCTACAGTCAGCTGCCTTAACTTTCCCTACACATGTAGCATGTACCAAGCAGAGCAGAGCTTGGAGTAATAAGGGGCGTTTTAAAGAAAGAGACTGAGCGCAAGTCATTATATTTTTTAATAATGTTAATATTGCTATTTTTTGGCGATCTTTGTTTTGAAAACAAATATTCTAGAGAAAAGAAAACATTTTGATTAATACATTGCAGTTCATAAATGACTTTTGTGAAATACCGAAATTCCATTTGCAAAAAAAAAAAAAATAGTTCACAATAAAATATTTTCAAAATTTGAAAACAAAATTAATTGCTTGTTCAGATGGCAGCCGTTCCCATCGCTCCCATATTTTCAGAAAATGTTCTGATGCATGCACCTATTTGCCCGTAGTTACACTAACGTTGGAGCAAACATATAAATACAATTTTAGTTAAGAGTATTTTTTTTTCCGTAGTATAACTCTTTAACATCATGTATACATTTAATATGCATTTAATGTTACACTACATACAGCTTTTAGACGCATATTGTATATCGTAAACACAAAAGTGTTTGTTTTATCACAATTATGTATATTTTCTTTAATGAAAAAATATTAATTATAATTTCTTGAAAAACAGATTCTCACTTGTTAAAAGCATAATCTTCTTCATTACAAAGATTTCTATCTTTATATTTAAGAGATTTGAATATTTGTTATTTGTTATTTATTTATTCGGTCTATTGTATACGTAAATAGTACAGTATATATTTTGTCTCTACAAAAAGTTAACATTTTAATATTTTTATATCTCTACATTTTTGCGATGTAAAACGATGATGTACAAACACATTTCATATGCAAGCATTTATTAGAATATTTACTTACACTGTACGTGTTGTTCATTGAGAAAAAAATCTTCGCGCCCTTTCTTCGGGCAATGTTATATAAAATGGTAACAACTTGACTAATGATCCATTTAGATTGGGAGTTCTGTAATTTTAAACATTCATATTTAATTAATTGTTTTTCCTACACAGCTAATGTTTAGTAGAAATTTTCACGTATATTAAGTCAGCAGATCATGATTTGGTCCAGTGCTATAAGAAACCGATTAGTACATTAAATTGTTGTGACATAAAATGAAGAGTCTAGAATACTGTTATCCAGCATCAGTATACCAGCCATTAAAGTATAAGTATACACGTTCGGAGAATTGCAGGCTGATACACTTTGAATAAAATTATCAAAAAAGCAAATAGCACACAATGCATTGCTTTGATGATAAAGCTGGGAATAATAGAAATATCGGGATCCAAATTTGGAGCGAGGGTTGCAGATGTTTTTCAAATATGGCTCACATAGGGAAGTGTGGAAGTTGTAATGAGGCTAACGTGTGTAGATAAGGCAATCATCATACAGCAGGCGCAATAAGAATTAAACATTAATCTAGTTGGATGAAGTAATAGAGGAAAAGATGATTTATGTAACTCATTTATTGATTTTTTAAAAAAACAGCTCAGTCTTACATCTAAATCAGCTATAAAACAAACAATTTTAATAAAATAATAATTAAGAATACCATGCTTAGAAATTTCACAAATATATTATTATTAAGCGTGTTATGCAAAAATGCTATCAATTCAGTTAAAAGAGAAATTTTAAAATTATACGCTTATATTTTAAAATTACATTACCTGTACGTCTTTGTAAAGGGTGAGGCAATCTGTAAATGTTTTCACAACGTCCTTCTCTGCCAAACGCTGCAATTACGTGTGGAATAAAATTCTTATTAGCTACCTTTTTGCACAACTAAAATAAAATGTGTTTTTCTAACCGCGAAGTTCTAATGCTTTGTTTAATAAGAATAAAAAGATGTCTGTGCAATAATTACCAAACCAAACTCTGTACTATGATGACTACCGCTTATCAACAGACTCAACATATCACGAATTAAAGACGTGCTAAAACCTGGTGCCCTTGTATCAAGAAGATTTTCATAGTTTAAACATCTCGACGTTATATCTGTAACGATAAAGTATCAAGAACATGTTTCGTTTTTTTTTATTTTAATTTGTATCTTAGTCAGAATTAAAAGTTCTACTCTTGAATTATATTTTTTTTTGTTATTCTCTGTAAATAATAATTTTCGTTAGAGTGTACGTTTGCGCCGCTCACAAAAGTACTGATCGTGTGTCGTATAAGGGTTTGATGTTTGCCATCTATTTTATATAAGGCAAACTTGTGCAGTACATAAGTACGGCACGGCTAGTATGTGGTCAGTTGTTTAAATCTTTCATGCCGATTCCCAATCCCCCACGCGTATTTATCCCCCCTCCTTACCTCAAGTCAATTACCCACCCGAACATAACCTGTATCAGAGAACTGCAATAGGACATTAGCTCCCTCTCAATCAACACCCAGACATTTAGATGAAGAGATAATATAATAATTTGTACAGGTACCGATATAGGCACAGGTAAATAACAGGTACATCTATTGGCATTGGTGTAGCTTCAGGAATAGGTAAGGGATATGAAAAGAGTTAGGGTAATAGGACATTGGATGAGGAAATAAAATAAGGGAATCAGTATTCAATTAAAAATTTTCAAATCAACTAAAATCTTCAGATTCACTATTAAATTTAGGTGTGAGATATTTTGTCTGAGATCGATTGTCCATGGTATCATTTGTCCTGATATATTTTGTCCTGATATCTTTTGTCCGCGAGATCATTTGTCCTTGAGATCATTTGACCTAAGATCATTTGTCATGGAACCATATATATATATATATATATATATATATATATATATATATATATATATATATATATATATATATATATATATATATATATATATATATATATATTACCATACACGTATATTGCCCGGAATTATGTTTGATAATGTCTCTGACCCTTTTATCGGCTGAACTGACAAATTAATACATTTCTTGATTATAACGTTAACTTACGCTATAGCAAACCAACTGTTAGACACACTATTATATTTTAGCTAGATACGGGTATTTTCCTGCCCATACTGTTTCTTGAATCGAATCAATGCAACAGTTTTAATACTACATTTTCGTTTTAATTATAAACATTTGTTTTTCTGTGTATTTCACGAGACGAAAGTTATTTAGCATACCACAATTTGTTTGTACAGTATTTGATTTGAAATTCTGTCCATGCGACTTAAAATGACCTAAATTAAACTAGATTTTTGTGTGGGCTAATAAACACGGCCGTTATTTTAAATTAGAAAATGAAGCACGCATATAAAAGCAACAAGTAAAAATCTCAACGATGAGAAAGTCTGGGACCACAAAGTTTTGCCCAAAATGCAGGTTAAGCCAGCAACATAAAAGAGAAACAAAATGACAAAGTATGTGGCAAAAACTTTATTTACTATTTTACTTCTTAAGATGGACGGAGTGGTCTAGCAGTAGAGAGCTGGACTGCTAACCCGTAAGTCTCGAGTTCGAATCCGGGTTCAAGTCAGTAGACCGTCCCTGAGTCTATCTCTTCATATGTCGAGGTCACAGAAACAAGTGAACTCTACTTCACTTGCCCCATAGACCGTAAGGTTTGAAAGGGAAACTTTACTTTACTTACTACTTCTTAAGATGTAGAATTCTACAGGTAAAATCGAGGTAAAATATGTACTATTGGTAAAATCTCATATACAACGATGTCCGTATTGCCTAAGGCGACTGAACAAACTTGGAGAGACACAGGCAGTGATTCAACATACGAGTAATAACACAGACTGAATGTAAATTACGAGTACAACATAATTATAACTTCTATACTGGTGTTTAGGGTCCATAACATCAAGCTTTTATCATTTGTCAGTCTTGTCACAAAAAAAAAGAACGACATTTATTTATGTAAGCTAAGACACAGCTCTTACTAAAATAAGACGACAAGCTATAAAACTAAATTACCCGCATAGTTAAGATCTAAGAGTAGTGTGAAAAACTTCAGATTATCTTCCGCATTTAGAATAGAGTAAATTGTCCTCAAACACCTCTGACACATGAAGAAATGTAAAGCGTCAAAGTCTCTCATGTTCAAAAACTCTGACATAACATCAGAAACAAACTCCTTTAATTCATAATAGTTTGTTCTCTGGAAGTAAAAAAAAAATTATGTTTTAAAATTCATGTTATTAAATTATTTTTAACATTATTTACAACACAATGCTATTTCATTCGGTCGCTTGTTTACGGGTCAGTCGACCCCTGGTTCGACAACCGACTGACTGACTTCGATCAATTTTTAACCATACGCATGCTTCAGTACTAAGGACTAGCCAGTGTACACACTAGCAAGAGTAAGCTAATTTGATGTGTGGACAGAGACACAAAACAAACAGTCTAGTTCAAATCACTGTCGGGGCCACTAGTACGTTGTGAAAACGGATACGCCTGTACTGGTGATGCAGTGCGTCACGCAACATACAAGACGAAACATCAACAAACGGGTTTTAAAAGACTAAATAAAAAACCAATTGTTAATTATAGAAATGTTAATACTATATACACAATAATTCTAAATATACATACGCTTTTACGCAGACTAAGATATAATGAATATCTAAGAGAACAGAACTAACCTACACTACCCTTTTTGGGAGAAAAGGAAGAAACAGAGCAATAAAACACGCTCTCACATACCTTATAAACTCTTTAAGCAAACAGGTATAAACCGGACTGCACATCTTACAGTACGAGGACTGAACAGAGACGAATATGAGAGGGTACAACGTATAAAAAACATTCACCCACATTCATCACCCTTCACTCTCATATATATATTCATATATATATATATATATATATATATATATATATATATATATATATATATATATATATATATATATATATATATATATATATATATATATATATATATATATATATATATATATATATATATATATATAAACAAACTTCTACTTAGAACTGTGTTAGTATTATGCTTAAAATTATCAAAATGTTTACTTCACATTTTTTTTGCAGAATGTCTACTAAGTGATCCACATACTTAATATTTATTTTTCATACAAACGGTGAATATCTTTCGTGTATCTTTCTAATTTGGGTATTGGTCCCATTTGAACAAGTGTAATTTCGGACATATGTAGGCGAAAATCCGGATCCCATAGTCAAGATTTAACTTTTTCTTTGAACAAGCAAAGTATACACACAGTGTAGTCTCACATTTTTATATCATCGCTCAGATACGCAACTCTGAACTGAGGCCTGGCAACACATAGCGAGTCGACGCTGTACAGTAAAGTAAACTTGAGACCTTTAAGAAATGTTGTTGTTTTTTAACTTACCTCCCAAATATAATAGCTCAATTTTAGAATGTTTATTAGATTTATTAATACACCGCGTGTAGATATATTTATATGTAATTTTATTTTCGAATTCTTTATTAACTACATGCTATTTATTATTATATATAGGACCCACTAAGTTGTAAAAATGGGACCACATCAATCTACAAATTTACAGTGAATGAAAAACAACTTAATTGTGTACAACACGCATTCGACGCTCTTTATCTTAGCTTAACAGGATATGTGTACTTGAAAACACGAATGTGATCCAGATAAGATATGAATCAACATTTAGATTCAACGATCATATAGTTACTTTAGGACATATAAACACAACACCCACAGTTAAAAGTAATATGGCAAACAGGAAATTTAACATTTTCTATTAGACTATGAAAGATACATTGAAAGTATGAAATTTACTAAGACACTTATAGAATAAAGTTTGACTGGCTCTGTTCTGTCAATATCGTCTTCTATATGGTATCTTCTAAAATATTTATAGACAATACCTTATTATTGTCTAGAGTCTCGACGACTTGAATCTGCATATGAGAAGATGTAGTTGCTTACATATTTTGTACTTCGGTATCTTCAGACGCGTCAACCTCTTTTTTTTATGTCGAAGTAAAGACATTCAGTTTGAAATATATGTCTCTTGTTTGGTCCACGTGGATGATGTTTGTTGGCAATCTGAAATGCCTTTCAATTTCTTCCTTTCCCATCCTGAATATTTTTTCTTTACTGGATTTAATTACATTTAGTAACCTCTAAATTAACGAATTATGTTGTCTTAGTCACAATATATTTAGTGGGATACACCAAAGAATCTAAATGGGACATTACTTTTTGATAATTACCTACTATTTGAAACAAATTCTAAAGTTACAACAACGGTCAGTTTTAGTTTAAGTTGGTTTTTTAATACGATATATAGCCTTATTTAAATTTAATATAGATCTAGATCTAGTAAAATAAAATGATGTTTAATATACATTTGCTACTGTTTGCTGCATGATAAAAATCTTGTAATTTACATCGATGTGGGTCTAAACATATTTTTATCAGTTTAAAAATTTGAGTTTTAAACGTTTCCAATAAAGGCGCCAGTTTGATGAAAATAGCCAGAGGGGGAGCAGCTCCACCACCAGCTCCACCCCCCCCCTCCCACCTGCGATCGATATGCCTAGACCCGCTTTTTCTTACATATAAATACATACTTTTACTCTAAGAATAGCCATGCAGTCTGAATATCAGCATCATTGGTAGGTTTATATAAGCCCAAATTTGAATGTTTCCCATACAACAAACAAGTTGTCGAATTGCACAATAGACACCCACGGACCAAACAAAATAACTTCTATACAGCGTCCCATAATAACACGTAATTTTCATCGGATATTATTTTTTTCAAAAGCGAGTTAATATATTGTGCATTTTGGTGTTATACAAACAATAAAAACTTCCTACCTGATTGTTGTGAGACAGAAGAACAGTCTTTATATAGCAATCGATGGATCTGTTGTTATAGAAATCATCGATACACAAAATGTGCAGTATTTGTTTGGATGCATTAGTTTATAATTTTTTGTGATGAGAAAACAAATACACATTGCCTTGACATGTTTCAATAACAATGGTGTGGTGATTTGTATAAATGGTTCGAAAAATTATGTTTAACTACTCTTTCTAAAGCTTTCATATTTACAACACTACAGCCTTAAAGGAATCCCGACCATTCTCCTCACGATCGAATATCGCGTAAATTTCATTTCGACAGTGGGGTAATGAGAGTTTCTTTCCGAACGAAATGAAATTTATATAATTTATATAGAAAATATATACTTTTAACAGTGTCCGCCCCCCCCCCGAAGAAAGTCTACCGCCCCCCCACCCCCGAAAATTTCAAGTGCCCCCCCCCCCCCCCCCGGAGAAAAAAGTCTGGAAGAAACACTGGGGGTAATATCCTACTTAAGCTTATTGCGCAGCGTGTGCGTTTGATAAGGTGTTCATGATCAGATGGGAAAATAGATGGTAATTGTTACTGGTCATGTTCTGCGCCCAGGTTAAATAAGTTCGCTTGTCATAATGGTAATGAACGAGGTGATCACGGGGTATTGAGAAGTGTTACATTTATAGACAAAGTTAACAGCACAGTAGGCCTATGAGTTTACCTGTCTAGTACCTTCTATGTGAGAAGTTATACATTGAATTAAGTCTCGCGGTCAGTATTAAAATATATGTAAGCCTACTGGCGTATGTAATTTGTGTTATTTATAATGTTAAATCTGTGTGACGGTATTGTTTTAAAGTAAATTATAATTTAAATATCACTTCGCTGTTGCATGTATGTAATTTTTGTTTTTTATTTTGCTGTTGGAAATGTCCAGACATGTTTCTGTAAGCTACACAAATTACATACCTTTTAACGTGGCGGACTTCTGCGTCGTTTTGTTCACTGACGGTTGCGTCTCTCAGTTCGTTTTTGGTGACGTTTTGTAAATCTTGTTTTAGTGCTGGTTATTTAATGAAAATAAGAGATTTATATATATATATATATATATATATATATATATATATATATATATATATATATATATATATATATATATATATATATATATATACATCCATTTTCTTCCACGAAATTTATGTCTGCTACTGCTTTAATAATAGTATCTAACACCTTGTCGTGTCCATTTTGAGATGCAAGCATTAAGGCATTCCATCCATGATCTTCAACATGATATGTAAATATATATATATATATATATATATATATATATATATATATATATATATATATATATATATATGTGTATATACATATGGGGCTACGACAAATTCCCGAAAGACACTTGCCCGAATGTCGTTTACCCGAAGGCCGACTTCTCGAATGGACACTTGCCCGAATAGGACCAATGTCGGGCAAGTGTCCATTCGTGCATTAGTCGCATTCGGGCAAGTGTCCATTCGGGCAAGTGTCTTTCGGGAAAACGTCCGGCTCCCATAAATATACAATTATATATATTATAGACAATACAAATATGAATGTATATATAGAACAGTAACATGTCTATATCTATATAAATAAATAAATAAATGTATATATATATATATATATATATATATATATATATATATATATATATATATATATATAATTGATGAATTATATATACCTTTTTCAAATAGAGATATTAAAAAATGAAACATTGTTGTTGATGTCGTTTTACCGATAATTTTAAAGTTCATTGAAGATAACGTATCAATAACATGTTTCTGTTTATTTTCAAATGCAAGAAAGCACACATCAATTAATTCCAACAATAGAGTCGTTCTGAAGCTAAACGTATTGAGGCAATCTTTATTATCATTTTTTCGATCACCTAAAAATGAAGAGTCTTGAGCGATTTCATTTACATAGATTATGTCAGCTCCCTCATTAATAAGACTATCTACCACCTTGTCGTGTCCATGGTTAGATGCAATCAATAAGGCATTATTTCCATTTTGTTTTACATGGCTTATGTCTGCTCCTGCTTTAATAAGAATATCTACCACCTTTTCGTGTCCTTTTTTAGATGCAATCATTAAGGCATTATATCCATCTTCTTCCACGATATGTATGTCTGCTCCACATTTAATTAGAATATCTACCACCTTGTTGTGTCCATTTTGAGATGCAATCATTAAGGCATTCCATCCATTATCTTTCAAATGATTTATGTCTGCTCCTGCTTCAATAAGAATATCTACCACCTTGTCGTGTCCATTTTGAGATGCAATCATTAAGGCATTCCATCCATTATCTTTCAAATGATTTATGTCTGCTCCACATTTAATTAGAATATCTACCACCTTGTCGTGTTCTTCTTGTAATGCAATCAGCAATGCATTCCATCCATTATCCCCCACATGATTTATGTCTGCTCCGGCTTTAATAAGAATATCTACCACCTTGTCGTGTCCATTTAGAGATGCAATCATTAAGGCATTCCTTGTAGCATCTTCCACGTGATTTATGTCTGCTCCTGCGTTAATTAAAATATCTACCACCTTTTCGTGTCCGCTTTGAGATGCAATCATTAAGGCGTTCCATCCATTTTCTTTTACATGGTGTATATCTGCTCCTGCTTTAATAAGAATATCTACCACCTTTTCGTGTCCATTTTGAGATGCAATCAGTAATGCATTCCATCCATTTTCTTTCACGAAATTTATGTCTGCTCCTGCTTTAATAAGAATATCTACCACCTTGTCGTGTCCATTTTGAGATGCAAGCATTAAGGCATTCCATCCATTTTCTTCCACGTGATGTATGTCTGCTCTCGCTTTAATAAGAATATCTACTACCTTGTCGTGTCCAATTAAAGACGAAATCATTAATGCATTCTTTCCAACATATTCCACGTGATTTATGTCTGTTCCTGCTTTTATAAGAATATCTACCACCTTGTCGTGTCCATTATAAGATGCAATCATTAAGGCATTCCATCCGTCATCTTTCACATGATTTACGTCTGCTCCTGCTTTAATAAGAAAATCTACCACCTTGTCGTGTCCATTTTGAGATGCAACCATTAAGGCATTATAATCATTTTGTTTTACATAGTTTATGTCTGCTCCTGCTTTAATAAGAATTTCTACCACCTTGTCGTGTCCATTTTGAGATGCTTCAAGTAAGGCATTCCATCCATCATCTTCCACATGATTGATGTCTGCTCCTGCTTTAATAAGAATATCTACCACCTTGTCGTGTCCATTTTGGGAAGCAATCATTAATGCATTATATTTATTTTGTTGTAATTCATGTATGTCTGATCCTGCTTTAATAAGAATTTCTACCACCTTGTCGTTTCCATAGTGAGATGCAAACATTAAGGCATTCCATAGTTTATCGTTTACATGATGTATGTCTGCTCCTGCTTTAATAAGATGATCTACAACATTGTCGTGTCCATTTCTAGATGCAATCATTAAGGCATTAAATCCATCATCTTCCACGTGATTTATGTCTGCTCCCGCTTCAATAAGAATATCTATCACTTTATCGTGTCCATATAAAGATGCAATCATTAAGGCATTATATCCATCTTGTTTTACAAAGTTTATGTCTGCTCCTGATTTAATAAGAATATTTACCAGCTTGTCGTCTCCATTTTGAGATGCAATAATTAAGGCATTCTGTATATTATTTTCGACATGAAGTATATCTGCTCCTGCTTTATTAAGAAGAGCTACTAACTTTTCGTGTTCATATTCAGATGTAATCATAAATGTTTCATATCCATCTTGTTTTACATAGTTTATATCTGCTCCTGCTTTAATAAGAATATCTACCACCTTGTCGTATTCATTTTGAGACGCAGTCATTAAGGCATTAAATTCCATTTTGTTTAACGTATTGGCCTTTTATGTGCAATGCAGAATGTTACACGCATGTTGTTTCCTTTTTCAGATGCATCAATAAATGTCGCACGGATGGTGTTCAAAGTTGCGTTTCGTGTTCAGACCAATTATATATCTCTTTATTCACGTGAAAACTTGAAAACGAATTCACGAAAACAGCACTCATATCATCAACTGAAATATAAATAAAATTATATATATATATATACAATTATAAATAAAAGTATTAAAAACATTGTGTAGGAAAATAAGAAAATGGTGAAACAAATACAGCAAAATACTTGCAATAAATTGATTTGACACAAAGTCAATTATTATAAAGAAAGAAGTAATTTAAACAAAAATAGTTTATATGGAAACAACGCTTTACGTTTTACCAGAGGCGATTTGTATATAAATAGTATGATAAAATATTCTTAACTATAAATACGTATTGAACTCAGGTTCTAGAGCAATCCACAGTCAAAATTGAATCAGTCGGCGTGACAATGGATACCATACTAACATGCTCGTCCCGCACGTTGCCGCGGGAATAGAAGAAAGTCCCTGTGTCGTAGCGTGGGTAGATTAAATTAAATAAGACTTGACTGTTAGAGACTAATAAGGACGGTGTAAACATGACGGTAGACGATTTGGTTCGAGAGTATGTGCCCAAGTTTAATAAAATATTTGTGGCGTGATTGTGACCTGAGCGTGACGCAAAATGTTACCGATGACGTAGGACGCAGGAGTGAGGACAGTTGGGGGTTAGCCATTGTAGGAAAAGGACGTCATTTTATATTGTGTAGTATTAGTATTTAATAATAAAGTTAATTCCATTTTATGTTCGAAGTTATTTATATCATTAACTTAGTGTCGTCGGAAAATAAGAGTGTTCCGTCCTCATCACATATTTATAGTAATGTAATTGGAGTGATAGTTACAGGAGTAGTCATCAAATAGATTCATATAGCAACGCATACATTTCCCTCACCACATATTGTTGGAACACATAGTGGTTCTTAGTTCCGATACAAGAAGTGGTGTTTTAAAATGATCCGAGTTGACCAGAAGTGAAGTTTGAAACAGATTCGAGTTAACCAGAGGTGCTGCAAGATCATCGATAGGAAGCAATGATAAGTACCTTCCTCTAATTTTTTTAAAGTAGCCGGGATTGTTTTGATCCTGTGCTTGTTATTCAGTAGTTTTTCTTCTTCGTGTTTGTTTTGTGTTTGTATATTGTTGTTAATCTTAAATTGGCTGAGCCTTCCCAACGATGTGACACACTAAGTGTATGCCTGCCTTTTAAGAAACACATATTGCTTTTAGCGGAAGAAGTCCAGTTTGTACTATCGTCTCTCTACCGCTATTGTTACCGTAAGCCCTGTATTATTGTTGTGATTATCGCGTTGTCTTCTATATGTGTCGTTTATCGCTGTTCGTATAACGCTTAAACTATTTTTGTGTACAATTATTTTGTGTGTGTGATCATTCTTAAATTATTCAAATTATGACTGACCTCGCTCAGTTTTATTAGCTAGGCAAATCGCTTGAAAAAAAGTGGCGCTGAGCTAGAGGCATGGGTTGAAGAAAAATATAAAACTATCACGGCTGATAAAGAACGATTTGCTCAAATAGAAGCAGAAAAATGTATTAGGATTGAAATGTAAATTAAAAAACTGGAGTTAGAAAAAGAAAAAGAAAGAACAAAAGTGGATTTAGAAAAAGAAAAATCTATCATGATACAATGATGTTGTTGACAATATGACAGCGTTGATATAAAAAATACCATGATACAATGATGTTACTGAACCAATATGACAGCATTGATATACAAACCCTTTTAAACAAGGATGTTATCAAACCAATATTACTGCGCTGCTATAAAAACTATCATTATACATGGATGTTATTAAACTAATATTACTGCGATGCTATTTAAAACTATCATAATATAAGGGATGATCTTAGGATAAAAGAAAAAAATCTAGACTGGAATTGGCTAAAATAGACCCTGAGAAAGAAAAGGCTAGAATGGAAATGGAGAAAGAAATTGAAATAAAACGGTTAGAAGTCAACAAAAAAGTACGGGAAGCAGAGCAGAATACAACAACACCAACAAATCTGTCAAGAACCATGTTATATAAAATGTCTAAAAAATGTACACAATAAAAAACGACACTGATGCCTTTATTCGACGGTTTGAAACGATCGCCAAGCCCGAAAACATAACCGACAATAGGATGAGCCAACACTTGCTCACCCTGGTTGGTCGAAGAGGACTCGACGCCTGCTACACACTGACAGACGAAGAAACCAAATATTTAAAAACACTAAAACAGACCCTATTACAATATTATCACCTGGTGGAAGACTTACCAACAAAAATTCCACAAACTTCAACCTAAGAGAGACAAAGATTTCAAAGTGTTTACTAATGACTTAAAATACACAAGAAAAATGGATTGAAGCAGCATCAATAAACAAAACATATGAATATTTATTTCATTTTGTTCTGGTCGATAAAATATTGAATTCCGTCCACAGCGATTTGTACTCCTTCTTACAAGAAAGAAAACCTAGGGACATAAAGACTGACACATGAATGACGCAGACATTTATAGCGGCCCATCAGATTAGTCCACTATGCAAAACGTATAACAAGACATAATTTACTTCACCATTCATGACACATGTTGCCGACAGAAGTATAAGTAAAAATAGGTACGAGAACCATGGACATCATCAATCCAACAGACAACAACAGACACACCTGCCAGACATCAAGTGCT